AGAGAGATCTTTGATGGATATTTTTACTCAATTAGCAATTTCCTTATTAATATTAAATTATACTTTTATAAACGCAGTGATATCTATAATATTTATTGTGTATGGTAATTTTCTTTTGGAAAAATTTAATCTAACATCCATGCCTGCCTGCCGCTAGGCTGCCGCTAGGCTGCCGCTAGGCTGCCGCTAGGCGCGAGCGAGCGATGGCGCGAGCGAGGGGATAGAGAAATTTCCTCTCCGCCAGCTGGCGGAGGCAAATAGTAAAATTAATATAATTAAGACGAAAATTTCAAAATTATATTTATTCTTTAGTATATTAGCTAATGTATTAGTTTCACTCGCTCCCTTGCGCTGGCTTCCGCGCCAGCGCCAAGGAGGGAGAAATACTTTTCAGTATTTACATTTTAACTTTATAATTGTTTTTGTTTTTAAAAGAATAGTATTAACAATACTACTCTAAGCAACCAAACCTACACGGTAATCTGTGTACTTTGACTATATACTAATATATAAATCTTTTTCTAAAGCGGCAATATGCCGCTAAGATTTGTTTTAAAATTATTGTTTAAATTATATTCTAATTAAATAATAAAATCAATCATTTTTTATCTAGAATAATTTATTCTAAGTATTAGTAATAAGTCTCTACTTTGGTGTAATAATATATTAAATATATATAAGATTAAAATTAATGAGTATCAATAGAAACTTAATTCAAAATTTTCCGTTTCATTTAGTAGAAATTTCACCATGGCCTTTATTAGTTAGTTTTACACTATTAAATATGGCTATAGGTGGAGTAATGTATATGCATGGATATCCTTATGGAGGTGCTATCTTAAGTTTAGGTTTTGCATTAACAGCTTCTGCTATGGCACTATGGTTTAAAGATATTGTAGCAGAAGCTACTTATCTAGGATGTCATACTACTCAAGTACAAAAAGGATTAACAATAGGTGTAGTATTATTTATTATTAGTGAAGTTTTTGCTTTCTTAAGTGTATTTTGGGCATTTTTCCATTCTAGTTTATCTCCTGCAATTGAAATAGGTGGAGTATGGCCACCACAAGGTATAACAGCTTTAGATCCTTTTGCTATACCATTACTAAATACAATTTTATTATTATCAAGTGGAGCATTTGTAACATATGGACACCATGCCTTAATCCAAGGTAATAGAGAAGGTGCTATATTAGGAACACTTCTTACAATTGTATTAGCTGTAATTTTCACTTGTTTACAATATTACGAATACTCAGAAGCTGCATTCACATTCTCAGATTCTGTTTATGGGTCAGCATTTTATGCCTCAACTGGTCTACATGGATTCCACGTTATTATAGGAACTATATTCATTGCAGTTGCGTTTATTCGATTAATTAATTATCATCTTACAAATTCTCATCATCAAGGATTTGAAGCAGCAATACTTTACTGGCACATGGTTGATGTTATTTGGTTATTCTTATTTATTGCCGTTTACTATTGGGGTGGTGGTAGTACTGACATAGGTCTAACTACACCCGAAGTAGCTGGATTATCTAGTTTATTTTGTGTTGTTAAAGGTAGGAAATACCCAATAGTTCAAGGTATGAAAAGAAACTTTAGTTCAAACGAAACTCCAAATACCGGATTCTTCAACCAAATGTTAATTGGTTTAATCTTAGGTGATGGAACATTAGTTAAAAAATATAAAAATGGGAATACTTATTTTCAATTTGCACAAAGCATAATTCATAAAGAATATGTTAATCATGTTTTTGATATTTTTAAAAACCAAAATTATTGTCATCTTACATCAATGCCAGAAAAGGATGCGGTATTTAAAGGTAAAGTTTATAAATATTTTTCTTTCTCTACTAAATCTCTTCCTGAATTTAATGCCTTATACACTCTTTTTTACCCAGAAGGTACAAAAGTGATACCAGCAACAATTGGAGATTTGTTAACACCTGTCTCTTTAGCATATTGGGTTATGGACGATGGTGGTAAATGTGTTCCAGGGTTCCATATAAATACAAATGGATTTACTTTGCCTCATGTACAATTCTTAGCTGACGTTCTTTCTGAGAAATTTAATTTAAAATGCTCAGTTCACGGAAGAAATAGAATATATATATGGGCAAAATCTGTTCCTCATTTTGAATCCCTTGTCAAACCATATATCATTCCATCAATGGTTTATAAACTAACAGAAACTCCAGAGTAGAAGATAGAGTACCCCCTCGGCTACGCCGCTCTTTTGTGGATGTTGTTTGGTTATTCTTATTTATTGCTGTATATTACTGGGGTGGAAATTAATATCCTTAAGTTAAAAGTTCTTAAACTATACAAGTAAATAAACAAAATGATGAAAAGATATTTTAATAAACTAAGATTTTACAATCTAATAGACTACTGGAACAAAGATTTATTATATAATTTATTTTATATTATTATTACTATTTTAATGATTTTTATAATTTATTATTTTAATTTGGTATTAGATTTAATTAAATTTGGTATTTCTTTTTTAATATTTAATTTTATTTTTAATAAATTTACGTATTCTAATAATAAATATATTAAATTGATACAAAAATTTATTTTCTATTATTTATGTTTTTATATTAGTTTATATTTATTTCCTTTTGTTGATATTTTAGATACAATATTTTGTGATACTACTGATGTTGATGGATCTGACAATGAAAGTGGTAAGAAAAATAATGAATCAAAAAAAATTAGTGTTGATCCAAAAAGTGCTGCAATAGCTGCTGGTGGTGCTGTTGGTAGTGCTTTGGCTAAAACTCTGCCTGCTAGTATGCCTGCTGGTAAAAAAGGTGTTGTTGTTG